TACATATTTCCTGTACCAGGTGTCCCTCTTGCAGCTCCTCTGGCACCCCCCTCACTCAGAGGGGAAAAGGACTGTGCAAACCTGATTTTTTCCTGCAGAGGTTCCTCTCCCTGATACTTTTCCTGATTGGGTAATGTTTCCTTTGGCAGGTGTGTGAAGGTGCATGAAATATCTCCTTTAACATAAACCATTCAAAACGTAATTTAGACATTTATCTGAGGGCAGTGAGCAAGTAGTAGGACTACTAACTAACTCTCATTTGTAGAATGAGCACACCTCTCATTTGTCTGGAGCACACCTGGCTCCCCTGTGGTAACTTCAGAAGAAAACCTTGACATGGCACAACCTGTTTCCCTGCCTTGTCTATTCAGCATGCTTCTACACTGGAATTTCATCCCTGTCATCAAGAAATCAGCCAGCATTTTCCACAATTTCTTGAGCTCTCCCACATTGCCAGATTATTTGTTTGTTTGCTTGTTTTGGGGTTTTGTTTGTTTGTTTGTTTGTTTGTTTTTGGTTTATTTGTGGGGGTTTTTTGGTGGGTTTTTTAGATTTTTTGGTGGGACCCTGTAAAACTGAAAACGGTAAAGAAAAATGGAGCATTTCTAAAGGATGGCTCAGCCTGGACAGGAAATATGTACCTCTTCCAGGGCAAACTGAGAAGGATAAAATATTGGGGAGGTTAAAAATGTTCAGAAATCTTGTTCAGAAATCTGATGGAACAGTCAGACCATAAATATGGTTTACTTTGGAGGCTGAAGCTTCCCTTCTCTCCTGTCCTAGCAAAAGTGATTATCTCACTTTTGCATCCACTGCTGCAACTTTGCCTCAGCCTGTGCACAAAGCAGAGAACCTGGAATATTGGTTTGGACAGAGAAAGACATGAGAGATTTTGTTTTGCACTCAATGTAAATACAATTATTAATCTGATGGTCAGTGCTGATGTCTGTTTATACGGTCCCAACCTAAGGAGACTCCAAAAATCTGGCTAAGAGCAAGATGAAAACGGCAAATGTTGGGGCACAGAAGGCAGTTTTGTCTGTCTGCAGAAGGAAGGGAGGAAAAGAAATAATCTGTGGGGTGACAACATCTTCTCTGGAGGGATCAAGACCATCAGTATGATACAGGCAGCTTTAAATTATCTTAACTCAGAGGTGGCATTGGATGTAGAAGTAGCATTTGCAAACTCTCTTGCACTCATACTGGTTTATTTTTCCTTCATTTGTACTGTTTAGCGAGCACTGTGGCGATACCAGAAACATCCTTAACATCATTTACATAACTCCCCATGAAAGCCAAGTAATTTACATTCTCCATATTTTCCTCTACTTCCCAATTTTGCCTCAATACAGCCTAGATGTGAAACCTAGCATAACATGACAGCTATTCCTCTGCCAAAATATAAAGGTTTGCAAACTGTTCTGCTTCTCTTCCTTTAGCTGGTTTATGCAGGCAGCTGGGTGAAATTTGGGTTGTGTGTGCAAGTAAGAGATTGCTATGTAGCTGGTGGCTGGCAGCTCTAAAAAACCACTGATTTAAATTTACACTTTGCATGGACACAGGAGAAAAAGAGTGTGCAGACAGATCTATCTTTAATCTATAGGCTTACTGGTAATTAAAGAAGCAATGTGCAATTTTATTGCTGTAATTCTAAAGATTGAAGAAGGATGCCTTCCAAAAGAATTGTGATTTTGTGTGATGCAGTTCAGTAGTGTCAGCCAAGTCACATTTTATGTCCAACTCTCATTAAAATAACCCCAGAATAACATCACTGAACAGATTTTAGTAAGAAATTATAACTGCTACCTTGCACGCATTAGTTACCTTGCCTTAAAAGTCATCTCGAAATAACATGAAGGCCTTTGGAATAATGAGGATGAAGTAAAAGCTTAATGAGCAGGCTGCTGGCTTTCCTGCAGTTTGGTTTTGCCCTGATTTTCAGTAACTTTGCAGAGCTGAGAGCTGCTGCTGAGAAGCGAGAGGATTGTCTCAGCAGAAAGGTTGGCTGTTGCAGTGACACAATTGCTGACCTTCGGAGCAATTTGGAATGATGAGTGTGTTCTTCCCTTTCAAGAATCCTGCTTCCTTTACAGAAAAGTGCCCCTTCTCACAATGATGTCATCCTTTGAGAGTGTGTCATGAAAGGAAGAGGTAGCTCCCTTAAATAAACCCATACAGCTAAAATTTCTGTACAACGTGCTGCAGAGTCCCAGACGAGGAAGCTGGAAACTCCCAAGTGATTCTTATCCACTGTTTTGGTTAAATTGGGGCCTTAAGGAAA